GTGGCCAGTGGCGATGTTGGGGTACTATATTTAGTTTGGGAGGGGAATGGGGGGGATGTTGTCTTGATGTTGTGACTTACTTCGGATGTGTTGTTGGAATTTCTTTTTTTGGGGGGGATCTGTCTGTTTTTGGTTGAAAATAAAAAATAAAATAAAAATATGTTAAAAAACATATAGGGCTAATCCTGCTGGACTTCATCATTCTTATCTTGGTTTTAGTTTAATAAACATATACAGTATTTTAAGTTTTGATTGGGGGAAATTAGATAATTAGTAATTTGGGTTTCCTTAATCAAGCTGGTCGCATTCTTTTATGTGTAGGGTACATTTGTGAGAATCACTCAATGTAATCCGTTTTGCGTTTTGAGCTTCGTGAATTTATGGGGTGTTATATTCTGCAATATAATGCAGTTAATGAGATGTATGAAATGTCCACAAACGTTTCTTTTGCAAAGGATACCTGCAATTATTGTACTGTTTCTTTATGTTTGCATTCATGTGTGGTTTAATTAATACCATTTTTGCATGCTTGAATAATTTTGGCTATCGAGAGAGCTTATGCCCAAGTTATTTCATGGACCTCATGGATTTGTAACATACTGGAATATTTGTTTTAGTTATATCATAAATCCATAAATTAAGTGTATCACATCATATTTAACATCTCTACTAGAGTGTACCTGAATACATTTGAGTACAGTATATTATACCATTCCTGCACTAACCCAGATGCCTTAAAATCATTTAATATAATCATTAAACATTTAATAAGGTTTTAATATTTTTTTTTGTTATGCTTCAATCTTTTTTTAATTGGGCAGTAATTATTAGACCTACTCTTGTCAATTTACTTTCTCTTATAATTTCATCGATCCATTTTATCTGATACAAGGTCATGGGGAAGCCAAAAATCTTGTCCATGATGCACTACCCTAGTATTCCCAGCCCATTTCAGGGCACACACAAACACAAACTGGCACACACTCACACCTGGGGCAGTTTTCCCAGAAGCCAAATAAGCTACCAGTATCTCTCTGAATTGTAGCAGGAAACTGGAACACCCAGAACAAACGCACGCAAACCCAGTGAAAACATATAAGCTCCATTTAGATAGCACCCAAAGAATTGAACCTAAGGCCCAGCGCTGTGTGGTAGCAATACTAACCACTGTGCCGCCATGCTGCCATGCTTATTTGTTTAGTGTTATTTGGAATTATGCAATCAATATTTTATTTTATGGCATTTCTTTTCGTGCTATGATGAAGCATTTCTGTAAGTGATTGTTACAAGTGTAAGGTATGCTACACTTTTAGTAGGAATGTACAGAAAGCAAAACAATGTCAAACACTATTGTGTATACCTTGTTGTTCAATGCCCGTTCTTTATATACAGTATTATCCTATAAACTGCGGAAAAGTACTAGTTTTGGAGATATATAAAAATATATATTTAAGCAATATTTCAACAACATGAATGATACAGAATAAAAAATAAGTTTAAAAGCTTTTAAAAGGAACCCAACTGAAGTGAACAATATTTCAGAACAGCGAAGGGTCAATAACTGCTTTAGCTAGCCTGCATTGCATATAAAAAAGTGTAATGATCCCCACAATATCATTTAAGAAAAAGCACAATGTGGAACCTTGAATGTGAAGTCTGTAACAGGTTGAGGACAGATGTTTCCACATTAGAAGTTTAGACCTGGAAAAGTGGATGTGCTGTGCAAAGTCGTTTGAATGTGCATTGAACAGCAAAGCTTAATCTTTGGTGGGTAAGGTCATTGAGCCTTCTTCAGGTGTGATGGAATACACAAAAAGGGGAACTGCAATACTATTCAAATGTACATTTTGGAGTTTTAGTGAATTGGCTACGGTAAGTCCATTTCAGACCACAATGAAACTACCAAGTGCACAGTAACATGTAATTTACATCACAAAAGAACAAAATTTCGATGCACGTGTAGTGCCATTTTGCCATCATTGTCTGCAAGTTAGAATAAGGCAACAAAACATATGGTGACTCGAAAGTGGCCCTATTACATAGTAAACATTCTTTAGACCGAGCAAATTTTTAGATGCTTTATCTAGGTACTGCAAAAAAGATCAACCTGCCAACCAACTAAAATAACCAACTAAAATATACTCATTCATTATCAAGTTTTGCAAAAGTGCTCTATCATTTACATGGTGGTTATTTTATGGTAAATCACACATAAAAGAAAAAGCTTAGCAGGAGGATTTGCCGCGACACAGCCTGTGCTGTTGCCGAAACAGCTGATTGAATGAATTGAATTCAGATTGAATTCAGATGGTTAAATTTGAGAAGGTTTTGTAGACAAATACTACTTAATTGATAATTCAGCATGCAGATCATATTCAAACATTTCTGGGTTGAAACGTCTGCAGCACAAGATCAGACAAAAATAAAGAGTCCTGGTAATTCATAGTATATTTTAGAGTTGGACATATTTCAAATGTGTCAAAATATTTTAAAATGTATGTCTTTGAATTTCATATTTTATCTTCAAATAACTTTTGCTGTTTAAAAAAATATGGCACCCTGTGTACATTCAAAGTATCAGTTGATTTCTTTCAGCGTGTTTAATTTATTTTCAACATTTGTAACCCAGTTTTTAAAAAAATATTTTATCATAATTAATACTTACTATAAAATCTGATAGCTCATTTTATTATGTTTGTCTGTCATTTAGTGTGGACCCTCTTGACACAGTTCTCATAGATTAATGGAAGAAAGGATATTCACTTATTAGAAATGTCTGTCTTGGTAAACTAATGTTAAAGTCTTTATTCATGAAGTAGTTTGCTTTTCAGACTTGTCACTGAGTTTTTCTGTTTAATCTCCATGTACTGTATAAAATGTCCTGTGAAATGATCACTTTTGATGGGGTTTATATCAATATGGTAAACATACTGTAAGGTTTTAGAAACCTTGAGGAGAAGATACGGGGTCCAAATCATGGAGCAGAGCCAAAATGTCAAACATGGAACACTGATAAGGCACAGGTACAGAATGTTAGGTAATGCATGGAGTGGGATAGTACTGGGATAATATAGGGATAATATCTGTACAATATCGCAACTGGGAGAAAAAGAAAGCCAAAGGAGGAACTGAGTCAGTAGTAGCTTGTCAATGACAGAATAATTGTATTTTGAAGTTCTCTTATTGTTTATTTTCACCCTAGAAACTAAGTTTCATCCCCACACCTTTACTTTGTGTTGAAAAGGACAAGAGTCTATACAAAGCATCCAATAGCCTTTGTTTTCCAATGGCCAATAGCCTTTGTTTTCTTTTCTCATATTTCTTTATTCAGTAATGGGAAAGAAAGAAGTGTTGAAGCATTTGATTTGCTGTTGAAAACATTTAAGCAAAATGTACATGTCCTTTGCAAGAGGAAAGAAGTCTTTTGTAATTACAATTAACCTATTAGTATGTTTTTATTATCTGCACATACTGTAAGGCTGGACAGCTTTTATCCTAAAACAGCAGAATCACAATCATTGAAAACTGTAAGGTAAAGGAGTTTATCATGGATTACATAGGCATTAGTGCACAGCTTTTCAATGCAGCAACTGCTTCCAAGTTATTTTTAAGCAATACATTTCAAGGCAAATTTAAGAATGAGAAAAAACACTCCCCAGTTGGCCTGCAAATGCTCAATAGAGTAGAGAAAAAAACACTACAAACACATTTTTATATTTTTATATCTAGACTGCTTTGTTAGGCAGTGAAATTTACAGCTTTGCATATGAAGGTATTATAGGAGAGGAAAATAAATTGTGTCTGGTTACCTCCAAAAACTGTTCCTGAAGTGTTTAAGAGAAATGCTTGATCAGCTCTCAGCAGACTAGCAGATACTTTCTGCTTTGCTACAAGTGCCAATGTGAAACATGTCTGTACAGTGAGTCAGTTAGTCTCTGGATGCTTTGTGTAGACTTTAAATTATGAAAGAAGTGTTTTTGAAAGATTACCACATTTTGTTCTTAGTTCAGTGCAAGATATTTTGCTGTGTGATGTCAAATTCTTCATATCCCTAGTGTGAAATTGTAGGATCCACAAGTCCTTTGTGTTAATTCACAACTTTGTCTAATTTAAAGCTGTATGAATCATAATGTCAAAGCTTGTGTTTTTTAATGATTATTATTCATTTGTAATTCCTCTACCTCCACTTCTACACACACAGACCTATACAGTTGATAGCACTTGCATCTTGTATCTATTGTCACAATTATTGTCAAAACACAATTTGCATACTTAAAAGGGCTATAGTGTGATAACAGTTTATCATTAAGTTTAAGATGTAAAATAAATCTGATTAAATGATACATTTATTTTCTGTCTGTGTGATATAAAGTATTCTGTCTGTGTTGTATAAAGTATTCAACTAAAACATTTGTAAAGAGTGTTGAAATTATGCCTTCTAAAGAAGTGAAAAACAGTATATAACTCAGTTGGCTCTAATTTTGAAATGCTAAATTGTGTTATACAGTAGTAAGATGAAAATTATTCAAATATCTAACAAAACAAAACTTTAATTTTCACCATGTATGACACTCAACAAAGCATCAAAATATTTCTCACTGACAATATATGTGCCTTTTTATATTTTTATATTTGCCTATTTCAAGTTTCACATGGAACATTTCAGAGTTTTATTTAAATTATATACAGTACATGTCGTCAATATTACATGTGGCTGAATGATTTTTTCTTTTTACTAATTTTTATTTTGTTTTAATAAGATAGATGTTAGTACTTGTGTTGCAATATCTGTGGAATTGTATTGGTATAAAAACCCCCATAACCTGACAAATACCTGGTCATCATTTGAGATTAAATTTGTCTAAGTTTTGTGTCTAAATTATTTAGATGTAGGAAAGAAGCTCTCATGCATATACAGTACAATCATCCCATTCCATGACACTGCATTGTTGCTGGAAAGGCATTTCATATTCATCTTGTTATTCTTGCTTGCATTTCAGACCCAAACCACCACCTCCTGATGGAGCAAAATCAAACCCTTCTAAACGTCACCGAGATCGGTTAAATTGTGAGCTGGACAAACTGACCAGCCTTTTGCCATTCTCTGAGGATGTGAGAGCACGACTGGACAAACTTTCTGTGCTGAGGCTCAGTGTGGGGTATCTGAAGGTCAAGAGCTTCTTCAATGGTAAGTGAGCACTCTTGTTTATTAGCAGTCTTTACACAGGAGACAAGTAATTCCTTTAGCAATAATAATAATATAATCTCATCTTGTTAAAAGTGCTAGAGCTATTTTGATGAAAAGATATAATACAGTTTATTCAGAATTTTGATAAAACAAAAATGATCTTGAAAATCCCATAAGTATTTTCAGATTTCATTTTAATTAATGACTGTAACTGGTAGATTCCTAGTGTTTACCCCAAAGCATTTGAATGGTATGACACAAAAATAAATTCAAGATTAAAGCTCTAAAGGACAAGGTAGTTGTCAGAATAAACTGAGTTTGTGTAATTTTGAAAGCTGGTTGTTACAAGTATGTATGCAGATTAATTTATACTCGTGTTCTCTTAAAAATAATATTTTAAATTAAAATAAAACATGGTATTATGTTATATTCCTGTAAAGTCTATCATGGAAAGAAAGAGAAAGCCAACGTGCTTGACATTAAGTTTTGTTAAAATGGCTATGTAACTATGTACTTAGGTCTTATCTTTACCTGTGATATGCTTCTTTTTTACTTGCTGTTTCATTTCTGTTCTATTTAAAAATGTACGTGTTTGGCTTCTTTATGACCTAAGATGTGTTTCCTCAATGTAAATGTCTAAACCATGGTTGTCATGGTTTGTATCAAGATAGCTTTCATATCCTTTCCTGATAGTGAGTCAAGGCCTCTGAATTATTTTGATACATTGTTATTTATCATATTTTTACTAATTGAAGGATGGCCTTGCCTTAATGCTCAAAGTATTTTAAAATGTCGCCAACATTTTGCCAGCTATTTATATAGGTCACCTTTAATCAAACGTTTCTTAACATACATAAGGCTTACATAACTTTGTTATTAATTTTGCAAGATGTATAATTAAGTTAGAATCAGTCAGATCTCTTTGTTGAAAGATGTTGGATTTCATTAGAAGTTCTATCATTCTATTCCCCAAATTTTAAACTACTTAACTGAAAGCAAAATCCTAATTAACTATTGAATGTTAAATCATTCTGTGTCTCTAGAAATTGGTTATTTAATGGTGATCTATACAGCCTGCCTGACTGTGGCCCTATGGGACTGGGGGTAGCCATGTCTGTTGTATTTCAACAGTTGGAATTAACTATAGAAAACAGGTAATTCTACAGTACATTATATGAGGAGATTCATAGGGTCAGGAACAAACAACCCAGCCAGGCTGTTGAAGCTGATTTTGCAGGCTTGTTTGTTCTGCTAGAATTTCTGTATCTTTATGGTACAGTTAAACAAATGAGAAAAATGGACCATTTTAAATATAGAAATATATAGAGTTATAATTTGCACATACAGTAAAAAAAAAACACCCCCCGATCCCCTGAGAAGATAAAGTGGATATTGATTTTGTTTCACAATTGCTGTTGAAACTATTTTCTCTTATGTAAAGAAATATTTTTTTAATACTGTTTTTTAAGTTGTTTCCTGTAAGGGGAATGTGCATTGTGATTTTATTCCTGATACACAAAAACAGTGTGTATGCTCTTATGTTCCTCCTTATTTCCCTGCAACTCTTTTAAACAACAATAACACATTAGATTTATTTGTTGTTTATATTTTTAAACATATCAGTTTTCTGTTAAAGATACATTTTAAACTGTAAATTAATTAAACATTTTAAAATATAAATTGTACATCAGGAACTGTTTTTGATGTTGGCATCTTCTTTGTTTGTTTAACCTGAGTGTGAATGATTTAGAGAGAAAATTAAGAATATAGAAAGAAAAAATATATTTAATAGAATCTGTTTTTATTACCTTCCTATCTAGTTGATAAGATCTTTGTTTTAACTTGGAATTTATAATTTAACAAAGATTTATGATTTATAAATGTCTAAAACTGTTCTTTTGTGTCAGGTGTTTATATACGTACAGTGTCTTGCACAGTGTTTGCGTTTTTTGGTTTAAAACTTTAAAGCCTGCAGTCATGACACTTTGAAGTAGCAATTAATATTTGTTATATGCACAGCCTACTCCCTGTCTACCCCACATATACAAAGCAAAAAATAAAAAGAAAGAGTAAATGGATCATTTATAGGAAAGAAGAATGGAAAATATCATAATTGCTAACATACTATACATCAACACTTTGCAGTTGTAAAGTTCATGTAGGTACACACAATTACCTTACAGAGCAACATAATTAGTTTAGTGGTTCTTATTACTTCACAGTAAGGACATTTATCATTGTTAGGCACATTATTCAGGTAATGGGTAATGGAATTTGGAGATTTTATTATTATTTTTATTTATTATTAGATTATTTATATTAACTGCTACTAGTACTCAAAACACTTCTGCTCACATTATCTGAGACTCTTGATTCCTCGGGTTTAGGTCCTGAGCCTGAATACTCTTTTTGATATGTGGCAGGAAAAGTTAACAGCAGAATATAATCAAGAAATGTTATGTAACACCTCTGAGCTGAGCCCAGGAGATCATGGTTAAAGGTAACAAAGGCTAGTATCTTAGATATTGAAGATTATGCTCATCATGGCACTATCTTACATAATTTATTTAACTACGCTGTTAGAAGAGCAATACTTTGAAGAAAAGAATATACTATTTATTTATTTTGTGATTTTGTAAAATAGTTATTTTATATATTGTCGTTTATATATTAGTTTTCAGGGAAATGGTAATGGTTATAGGAAGGAGATGTTTTAAGGAAATCAAACATTAGTAAATGTTATGAAAAGTTTTGCTTCTTCTTGAACCTAAGATGTCACAGACTGAGAGGGCAACATCCTTTTCCTAACAGGAACTGGGACCATAAATGTTCATAAATATATCTGTGAGACTGTTTTCTTTGTTGTTATTTCACAACTGAGCTTGTAGAAGTAAAAAAGAAAAAGGCTTTTCTTTTCTTCCTTGTTTGAAACTTAATTAACCACCTTTTTGGATCGGTATCAGGCTAGGTAGGGTCAATGTTACCAGTCAGTTTCCAGTTTAGTTTCCTTATATTGTTCTATGTCTGCCTAAAATAGCAGCAATTATAAACAGAAACCTGCTTTTCCTGAGCGGTGTCTGAATTAAGCTTGTTAAAAGAAAAGATTATTTTGAGACTCCTGTATAATGTCTAATGTTTTGGTGACCTTTACTATGAGCCACAATTGTCACAAACGTGATACAGTATAAGAGACAAATGTATTGTGTATAAGGAACACTAATCTCCGAAAATAATTGTTGTTTTGGCGGGAGACCTTTTTCAATTATAGCATTATACAGATGCAGCCATTCAAAATGCACGGTACAAACCCGTACCGCGTGCATCTACGCGTGCGCCACCGTGCCATACCGCGGTACGTGATTGGCTGGCCAAAATGACCAACAGGAGCACTCGTGGTCCATTGGTTGGTAGTGAAAAGATGAAATAATTTAATCTCTTTACTGTGCACATTGTAATCCGCTTAGTATTGAAAATATTTATATGGAATTTTACCACTTTAGGAAAATTTTAGTAGCTGAGCATAAAAAGAAGAGGAGCACAACGCATCTGAAGGTCATAAACGATATTAATTTAGGAACATAAACATATTATGTAAACTGTATATTGCTGGTTTTGGTATTTTAAAGAAAAAATACACACCAGTATTCCATTTCTCCCTAAACATTTTAAGCATCAAAGTCTTTCAGTACATGTGGTTATTTTGAAACGTTTTTACCTGCCCCTTCTGACCATATTACTGTACGTTTATATACTTTGTGAAAAATTGATCGTTTTAACCTTTTCTGCGAATACGCTCGTTATTGGATTAAACAAAAGTGTAACGAACAATTCTTTCCGGGCCCTATGCGGACGACACGATCCGAAAGGTGAAGAAACAATAGGGAAAAATATCATGCAGGAGTCGGTCAGGAGACAAGGGGGCGTGTCCATGCAGTGCTAGTGTCCGGGGGGAGTGGATCCAGGGCGAACAATCCAAGGGTAAATCCAGAGGGGGAATCCAAGACGGAAAGTTTAGTCCAAGACCAGGGGATCCATCTGTAGTTAAAACCAGAACCGGGTCGGGACCGGCGGGGCAGGGAATCAGGAACAGGAAACTAAAACCATAACGGAGCCAGACGCGGCAGGACCCCGGGCTCTCACTACACGGAAATCAATGAGAAGCCCCGAGCAATCGCCTGCGTCTGGCTTTAAAGGTGGAACTAAAGAGGGGCTGGAATAAGGAACAGGTGTGGGGAATGGGACAGAACGAGGAAGGGCTGGAGCGCCCTTAAGAGGAGGAGTAACGATCGTGACAAAAAGCATACTTTTAGAATTGGATTAATAGGGAATATAGTATGGATTCAAGTATATAAATAAATTAATAACGGTGTAACTATATTTCTATATTGATATGTGTATTGCTGTTTCAGTGCATTTCACATGACTTGCCTTGGTGACGTGACGGCTTAAGTGACTGATTTATAAGTGTGAAGTCGGGTGTTCAAATCCAGCAATCGCTATGAGTTTTCTTTTAACAAATAAACATTTCTTTGAAAAATTAAAATAGCAAATATTATGGACACTACAGTACTGTATACTGTAACAGAGTGGGTTTTTTTTGTGGCTGCCTGTTTCACTGGCAGAGGGTCAATACCTCTAGCCGAGGTAGAGAGCCAGCGTGTAGTCACTAAGTAATTCAACCCTCGAGAATTATAATGTGAATATAGTTTTATACTAAAAAAATAGTTGGCCATATGTCCCTGACTAGTTCAGACTTCCTGCTGAGAAGATAGTGCTGGCTGGATTGGTCTGTGGTCCAAATTGATATCTGTTCCTTCTGTCTTGGCAGTGTTTTGGTGCAGAGACAAAAGAGGAAGAGAGAGCTTTGCCTTGTTTTGGGGCTCAGCATCTAGCATTGGCTTTCAAGCATTTCTGACAGAAGATGGAATATTTGAACTTCAGTTTTTAAAAACAAAAATAGTCTGTACACAGTTTGTCTTCTTGCGTTCGGCTGCAAGGTC